CCAGCAACTTCCGACGAATCACCTCTGTCCCTCGCCGTTCACGACCAGCTCAAGCCCACGTGCCACCAGCTCCGGTTCCAGCTGGTTCAGCACCTCCGAGCCGGACAACAGCAAGTTCACAGCCAGCCACCAGCTTTTTCCAGCGATTTCACACCACGGGGCCCGCGGCTACTATTCACGCGCGACCAGCAACACCTTGAGTCCGGTTACAGCAGCCCTCAGCCCAAGAACCCATCCCCACAGCTCACGATCTGAACCCATTTGGTTTTCTTGACCCGGTTCTAGCCCGATCTACTATTGTGCTATCCCGATCCGCTCGTTTTCGAGCATTGTGAGGTATAATAACTAGAACTCGATTTTTATGGCTTAGATAAAATATTTGAGATGATATAAAATTAATGAATTGGGCGATTTAAGCGATTTTGAATAAATCGGGATTTTCGAGCTTAAAGCGAATATGTTCGACTTTTGAAACATAAGTGATAAAATAATTATTTAAATTTGATAAATCATAATTAATTATCTTGAGGCTTAGGTAAAAATTTGATATTTTTCGGGCATCGTTTGATAGGTAAACGAGCCGGTCAAATGCGTTGACCGGTCGTAGCGATCTTTAGTTGACTGAGTTAGGAGTTGACTTTTGACTTGAGATGTTGACCATAGACTATATATATATTTAGGATGTTATGTTTCGATTTTCGTGAATTTTGGATGTCGTTTGACTTAGATTTAAAAATTGGGACTTTAGTTGTTATTGCGATAAAAATAGAATATTAGTCCTGTTGCGATTTTAGCTGCAGTTGTTGATTTTAAAATCATTATAAATCACATAGAATATATATATTAATTATCGGCCTTAAATGAATTAGGATTTTTGAGAAATCAAAACCCTAGTCTTATCCGGTTCCGATAACCGGGTATTTTTCCCGGATCCAATTATAATTGTCTGAACCCTAGTATCGTCTGGATAATTATTAGCCGTCGTATCGTAATTCGTAATGCGTATCGTCGTCTCTTGCCTGTGACCGTCTCTCGTCCGACCGTTGGAGCCGAACCGCCGAGTGCGTGCCCGTGCGTCGAGTCCGAGTCAACCCCCGAGTGCGTGCCCGTGCACCGAGTCCATCCGACCTACCGTCTACGCGTCGTTCTGTTAACCGTGGTCCAAGCACGCCCCTGCGTCAGTGACCATGGTACCGTTCAAACTCGTGCATCGGCTAAGCCGTGTCAGTCGAGTTCGTGCCGACCCGAGTTGCCACGCTGAACTCGGACCACGGTCAAACCGAGCTGCACATAGTCAAGCGAATGACCGACCGACTCCGAGTGAGCCGTCGGTCCATTTCAGTCGAATCGGTCCGGTCAGTCCGGACTGTTCGAAATATATTTTAGATAGAATGTCAGATAAATTTCAGATGCAGTCAGATTAATATTTCAAATAAAGTTAAGAATTTCAGATAGATTTAAGATTCAGATATAGTTTAGATTTCAGTCAGATTAGATTAAGTAAGATCCTAATCTCAGACTTAGAAATATTTCAGAGAACTCTAGAATGCCTCAACGACGATAATATTTTCAAAATCAGCTCGTAAATCCCTAAAATGATTTTTAAAGCCGAATGAGCGAACCTAGATATATAAGATATTAAAGAATTGAGTTTTATTCTGAGCCTAGTACTTATAATATTTCGCTCAATATATTTTGTAGCTTGAGGAGAGTCGAGCCTCCATCAGCTACCCATTTCAGATATTTCAGCCTTTGCGTTCGCCAGTTTCCAGGTGGGGACCATGTACTGTGTATTTCATCGCTTTTAATAATTTACCATGTATGAGATCTATATGTGATTAAATTGAAGGACCGAGACAGATGAGTGATCCCGTCTTGGTCAAGATATCAGATGTCAGTTATGACTTAGATGAGTGGGCGAGGCCCAGCCTGGATTTCTGAGGGAGGGGACCCCCAGAGTGTGCACATGAGTACCGGTTTTCCGTTAGTCTCATAGTTAGACCAGTTTTCTCATATATATGTTGATTTCATAGTTTGTTATTAATTGTGCTGAGTATTCAGTGTCGGTTCCGGCGGAGCACCGTTGATTCCTTTGTGCTCACGCCTCCCCACTACCCTATTTTTCAGGTGATGGAGTCCCGCGTGGAGCGTGAGCAGTTATGTGGTGTTGGTCCAGTTTCAGGACATTTTTGTGAAAACATGTCATAAAGTATTTGAACATGTTTGAATTATCTATGTTTGTTTTATGCTTGTGTGCTTTTCTGAATTTGTACTTGCTTCCGCATGTTAGACTTGTGTTTCAGATGTCAGATTTCACTCTAGTATTTCAGATTTCAGATTATGTCAGATTTTCAGAATATGCATGATTAATCCGGTATTATTCATGGCCTTAATTCTAGAATGGATTTTACTTGGTCGCATGCATGTTAGATTAAAGAGATAAAGATTTAAGATTAAAGTTGAGTAGCATCCCGCATTTTAAAGTTAAAGTATTTTCGAAAAATTAATATGAGTTTTCGAAAATTAAATCAGTGCTTTCTATTTAGAGCGCGAAAAATTTACTCTGATTTTAGTAAGTCTAGGCGGGGTGTTACAAAAGTAATATTCATATGCTTCACACTACTCCTTTCGGTCCAGATGGACAACAGGATCAAACAAAGAATGAGGAAGTTCACGTGTCTAAAGTGTGTGCGCTGTGAGAAAAAACTCAGAAACTCAAAAAAACGGTCTACAGTGGAAAGGGTATATGAGTATAAGTGACGAAATGCTCCAACTTTCCGCGCAACCTC